TCTCACTGGCCCCGCTATTTGTCACTCTTAAGGAAAACAACCACAATATAAACACAACCTTTGTACTGATACACTGAAACAAAACAAAACAAAACAAACAAAAAAAAAATCTCTATATCTTCTCATACACTAGTTAGAAGAAGTGTTTCAAGGGAGTGGGGGAAAGAGATATATCAGGGCCGGGTAGATAACTCAGTAAAATAAGTGCTTGCCTTGCAAGCACAAGGATCTGAGATCAATCCCTGAGTCTGCAAAAAAAAAAAGAAAGAAAGAAAAGAAAAAGATATATCTATGCACGCAAGCAGGACAGTTTCTAAAACTGTACTATAGATTTCTGCTGGTCTATGGAAAGGAGCAGTTAATGCTTAATTTGTCTTGTCTTCTTTCTATCTTGCCCTTTTTCTCTTAATTTCTTATATATTTCTTTTATTCTTTGTTCTTCCAATTTTACATGTATATATCTGGTAACATGAACAACAAATATGAAAACAACACTACACATTCCAACAAATACTGTGAAATCCATGTTATTTTAAGTGAAACTCTGTATCACATAATTTTTTGTTTTAATACTATTTTGTGTTCTCTTTATTTCTTATTTATTTATTTTGTTGTTGTTGCTCATTTTAGGGAAGGGTCTACAGGGTATTCAGGGTCTCACTACTAGATCGGACTCGTAGTGATCCGCTTGTTTACAGCCTCCCAAGAGCTGGATTACAGGCATGTGCCACCATGCCCAGTCTCAACTGCCATTTTAGCGCACCCCAGGGGCGGGGCTGGCACAGCAGGCCCAGGGATCGAACCCCTGGCCCCTGCATCTGCTTGTAAGCACTTTAATCCACTGAGCTCTTTGGCCAGTCCTTGTGCGCTCTTTAAAAACTAAAAATTTTTAAAAAGTGTTTCTACCCAGGAGAAACAATCTTCATATATTCCATCTATAACTTTTATGAAACAGATGTTTTTTTCTAGTCATTTAACAAACAAGTCCTCAGGCTAACAGCAGCAAGAGACATACCTCAACCAGGTATGGTGGCTCATGCCTGCAATCTCAGCATTCTGTGAGGCTGAGGAAAGAGGATCAAAAGTTCAAGCACGGTCTGAACAACTTAACAAGATCTTGCCTCACAAAAATTAAAAGACCTTGGGTTCATCCCCCAATACCCAAAAGATAGAGGCAGAGACATAGAGACCTCTGGCTCTTGGTACAGCACAACAGTCTTTGTAATTTCTAGTTGAAGCAAAGCATCTAGTTTAAACAAATTTACAGAGCAATAGTGCAACCTTACTTTTTTTTAAATGCACTGATGTAGAAATGAACAATTCAAACAATAACTTTGGTGGCTGGGGAAATAGCTCAGTGGCATAGTGCCTGACTGACAGGAGCAAGGTTCTAAGTTCGATTTCCTGTACAAAAAAAGCAAAAGAATCAATTGAGTGAAGTATTCAGAATTTGGAAAAAGACTACAGCCAGAAAACTTCCTCAGGAAAAGTAACTACTTGAGCTGAGCATGGTGGCACATGCCTGTAATCCCAGCATTGAGGAAGCTGAGGCAGGAGGATCGCTGTGAGTTCAAGACTTGCCTGGGCAACAAAGTGAGCTCAAGGGCAGCCTGAACTGCACAGCAAGACCCTCTATGAAAAAGACAAAAAAACTTTGAAAGTCTGTCCTTTTATAAGAAAGCTTCCAATTTAACCAGCCTATCCAAATGCATTAGTAGTGAGCTGCCTGGAGAAGTACTTTAACTCTCACACAAGAGCAAAGGAACATGTCCAGTGGTGGGAGACTAGCTGTCCTTGGCCCAGCATGCCACAGGATTTATCTCTGACCACAGATTAAGACCTCAACAAGTATCTTCCAATTTATCAGCAAAGACTATTAGCATACCTTTCCATACTATGAACGAACCCCCCATTTATACCTTTCTTGTCCAAGCCACTATCATTGTCACTGGGTT